GGAAGGAGAGGGAGACGGGAGACCAAGGGTCCGAAGACCCGAGACAGGAGGAGGAGACGGCAGCAGCTGCTGCTGCTGCTGCTGCTGCTGCTGCCGCGGCTGCTGTGGCTGCTGCTGCTCCAGCGGCTGCTGCCTCTGCTGCTGCTCCTGCTGCTGCTCCTGCTGCTGTCGCTCCTGCTCCTCGAGCCGCTGCAACTCTCTCTCCTCTCTCTCCAACTCCAGCTGCTCCTCACGAGCACGGCGAACACGAGCCTGGAACCTGGTCGGGTAGGGGTGGGGGGAAGGAGTAGTGTCCGGGGCAGCGGCAGCCCCAGAGTCGACCTCCGAAGCACCAAGCACACCACCCCCAGAGGCAGCACCAACACCAGCTCCAGACCCAGGCTCTCCAGAAACCGAAGGGACACCCTCACCCCCAGACGCAGCACCCCCAGACTCCGCACCAGCACCCCCAGACTCCGCACGACCAGTACCAGCCCCCGGAAGACAAGAGTCCTCTGCAACCCGCGGCTCAGCTCCAACTCCAGCACCCCCAGAACCAGAGACCTGTACAGGGACAGTCGCAGGACCAACCTCCCGAGAGGGAGCACCTGCAGGAGGCGGCGAGGAAGACTGTGGGGAGGGAGGCTGTACAGGGGGGGCTACCGAAGGGGGAGGGCTAGCCTGAGACACACCAGACGGGGCTGGACCAGGGGGGGGAGGCTGTACCGGGGGAGCAGGCGGGGGAGCGGCTGTCAGGAAGAGGGGGGGAGGAGGAACCAGGAGACCTCGACTGGGGTACCTGACGTAGTACGGGGTGGACTCCTCGAAACGGACGTCACGGGAGTCAAAGAACCGGTGAGAGGGAGGGTGGTAAAATGTGAAGTCAGAGGAGTCCTCAGGGAAACCAAGGAAGACACAAGGAACGGCGCGAGGCGAGAGCTTGTCCGCGGAGGTGTCGCGGACAAGAGCCAAGCACCCCCAGACACGAAACCTCGACGCGACACCAGGGGACCCTGTCCAAAGACTGGTCGGTGAAGCCTCCGGCCGAGAGACGCGTGGCCAGAGGTTCAGCTGGTGCGCGGCGTACCTGACTGCGTATGGCCACAGGAAATGGGGGGCACGGGCGTGAGTCAAGGAGGTGCGGGCAATCTCCATGACCAGGCCTATGCGACGCTCAGCAACCCCATTCTGCTGTGGGGACTCCGGAAGCGTCCAGGACTGACGAATGCCCTGTTCGCGACAGAATCCAGCGAGAATGCCGGAGCGAAACTCGCCCCCGCGGTCGGAGTGGAGACAGCTGACACGACGACCACGAGTGTCCTGGGTGGTAAGCAACCACCTGATCAGCGTAGAAGTCACCTCAGACTTCCTCGCCAGGGGGAACACTGTGGTGTAGCGGGAGTAGTCGTCAACGACCACCAAAAAGAAACGCTCACGCTCAGGGCCAGGGCGAGGAGAAGGGCCCCAGACGTCCAAGTGCAGCGTCTCAAAAGGCTCGGTGGCCGGACGAAGGGAGGAGGAGTGAGGGGTGGCACGCAGCCTACCCTCGACGCAAGGACCGCACGGTGGTGCAAGGGACGGCGGCAGCGACGGCAAGACACGCGGGAGACCTAAGACCAGACGCTGACTAGACATAGCACGCAGACGTGGAAGAGAAGGGTGTCCCATCCGGTGGTGCCACAGAACGGTGGGGTGGGCAAGCGACCGACAGGAGCAAGACGCAGCGACTGGACTGGACGCGACAACCTGAGGGGACGGAACCACCTGGTGAGACGCAGGGAGGAGACTAGGGGGAGGGACAGGAACTGGGAGGAGTGGCTGCTGCGACGGCGGCCGCTGTGGCTGCGGCTGCTGCTGCTGCCGCTGCTGAGGCTGCTGCTGCTGCTGCTGCAGTCGCTGCTGAGCGCGCGGGCCAGTGTGAAGAGTGTAGAGACCGGAGCCCGGCTCAGCAGCAAAAGTGGCGAGAGGCTGGTAAGAGTCCCCGTCAACACACACCGCAGTCTCTCCAGAAGGCTCAAACCACACACCCACGTGCTGACTCACAAGGGGTCGCACGCCCACCAAGTTCCGGGAGAACGAGGGGACGTGAAACCCAGTGAGAGACCCAGAAGGAGCAGCCGGACACGGCAAGGTGGTAGTGTGACGCGCGGTGACTGGTCCCGAAGTGGGATCAGCCAGCGCCACAGAAACAGGCGCAGGAAGAGGCGTAAGTGTCGTGCTGTCACGAAAGAAGCAGTGAGAGGCTCCAGAGTCCAGCGTGAACGACAGCGAACCGTCCTCTGAGGTAGCCGCTGGACTAGAGTCTACACAAGAACCTACACTAGCAACAGGCAACTGAGCAAGGCTAGCACCTAAGCTAACAACACCAGAGTAAGCAGAGTCAGAAACACTAGAGTCAACAACAGCATACATAGCATGAGGAGCACCAATCAGATCAACTAACTGCTCAGCAGACATGCCCCACAGAGCGGAGCCGTAGCGCTGAACCAGAGGAAGCCAGTCAAGGGCAGGACCGCCAACCCCGTAGGCCAACCGGACCGTGTCAGTGAGCTGAGCAAAGCACTGACCAGGGGGGTGAAAGCGGCCACAAGGGTGGCCCCGACGAGGACCTGTCAGAACCTGATAGGTGCAGGGAGGGTAAGCAGCACCACGTGTCAAACATTATATGTTTGTATTGCTCTAGCCTGTAGTGGGTGATACCTTAGGGGGTACACCTAGTTAGGGTTTCACATTTGTACTCCTGTTCCTCTTAGTCACACTCATTCCAGTCTCGTAATCTTGACATGGTTTCAGAGCAGGTCCTTCCCTAGGACCGTTCTTAAGGGCCCACCTACCTACCTACCTACATACCTATCAAGCGCCCCTAGTGCGCCTCCTATTGCGCCCCTAGTGCGCCTCCTATTGCGCCCCTAGTGCGCCATCTTTTTTTTTACCGCGCGCGATCTGCTAGCCGCCCGCGCGCGGCCTATTTCGTGCGCGCGACCAGCCAGCAGCCCGCGCGCGGCCATTTTTCGCGCGCGGTTAGCTAGCCGCCGGCGCGCGCGGTTATTTTTTCTTCGCGCGCGGCCCGTCGCACTGACCGCGCGCCTTGTGCGCGCGGCCCGTCGCACTGACCCCGCGCCTTCGTCGCCGCGGTCGGGCCTGCAGCAACAGCCGCGGCAGAGACTGCAGTCGCGGCTGTCGCAACTGCTGCAGCAGCCGCCGCCGCCTCTCCTGCCGCGGCCGCCGCTGCATCTACAGCAGCTGCAGCCGCCGCATCTACTGCAGCAGCCGCCGCTGCAGCTACAGCAGCAGCAGCCGCCGCATCTACAGCAGCAGCAGCTGCCGCATCTTCTGCAGCAGCCGCTGCATCATCTACAGCAGCAGCAGCCGCCGCACCTTCTGCAGCAGCCGCCACTGCATCTACAGCAGCAGCAGCTGCCGCATCATCTACAACAGCGGCCGCCGCCGCATCTACGGCAGCAGCAGCCGCCGCAATCTACAGCAGCGGCCGCCGCAGCTACAGCAGCATCAACCGCTGCTGCCTCTGCAGCAGCAGCCGCCGCCGACCCAGCAGCAGCAGCCGCCGCCGATCCTGCAGCAGCCGCAACCGTCGAATCTACTCCATCGGCCGCCGCCGGCCCTGCAGTCCCTACTCTAGCCGAACCTGCAGCAACTGCCGCCGCTGTCGCGACTGCCCCGGCCCTGCCTTGCCCTGCTGCTACTGTCACTACCACTTTTATTACTTACTTTTCCTCCTCCTGCTACCATGGCTACTGCTCCTGTTCTAGCCTTCGACGCTGAGGGCCGCCCAGTGAAATTTGACACCTGGCTCGATGATCTGCACCTTTTCCTACAGCTCACTGCCAAGGAAGACATTTCACTGTACGACCACGCCCTAGGCCATGCTACTGCCCCTGACTCCTCTGCTGCTAGCACACTGCGCTCCCAGTGGCAGACCCGCGACGCACACGCTCGCTTTGCTATCCGCAACTCCCTGCCGCTAGATGAGCGCGAGCACTTCGGCCAGTGCAAAACTGCTAAGGAACTGTACACAGCCGTAGTTGCTCGCTACTCCTCGCCTGCGTCTGCCACCCTAGGCCGCCTCTCCCTGCCCTACCTGTTCCCCGACCTGGCCTCCTTTCACACTGTCGCTGATCTCATCACCCACCTCAAGACTAGTGAGGCCCGTTTTCGCGCTGCTATGCCTGCCGAGTTCCTTGCTAGCAACCCCCCCCCCGCTCTGGCTCACCCTCTACCACATTGTCACCCGCCTCCCTGACTCTCTGCGCTCAGTCAGGGACTCCTTTCTAGCTCGCTCCCCTACTGAGCTCACCATTGCCCTCCTCGAGAAGGACCTACTTGCAGCTGAGGCGAGCATCGTCGCCGTAGGTGCCTCTCGTGGCGAGCCCCGCACCCCCTTCTTCGAGGGGTGTTCCCCTTCCCCCCTTCTCCCCTCTGTCGCCACTGCTGCTGCTGTCGACCTCCTTGGTGCTGAGAAGGTCGGGGCTGCGTCTGCTTCGAGCGGGCGCCGCAAGAGCAGGGGGGGCAAGGGTGGGGGTGGAGGCGGGGGAGGCGGGGGTGGAGACAGTGGAGGTGGCGGTGGGTCTGGAGAGGCTAGTGGCGGCAGTGGGGGTGGTGACAGCGGCGGCGGGGGTGGTGGCAGAGGCGGAGGTGGCAGCGGCGGCGGTGGCGGTCGTGGCCGTGGCAGGGGTGGAGGTGGCCGAGGCGGTGGCGGTGGCGGTGGCGGTGGTGGCCGTGGAGACGCTGGAGGTGGCCAGAGTCAGCAGCACGCCCCGACCCTCCAGGCCGCCCGTGAGTGGTACGCGCAGCGTGGGTACACTTGCACGTACGTCATCCGCACTGGTGACCGCACTGGCCAGCCATGTGGGAGGCCGCACCCCACACAGCGCTGCTTCCAGCGCCTGACTGACGCGTGGCGCACCCAGTTTCCTGGGTCTACTGAGCTCCCCCGCTGGCCTGAGCTGGAAAAGAAGGGTGTTGATATCTGGGCTTTAGACTTTGATGCTATTCTCACTGCTATGTATGCGATGTCTATTAGTGGAGAGGGTGCCCAGTACCTGCGTGTTCCGCCCGACCCGGGCATTCAGGCCAGCCCAGCTGCTGCTCTAGGTGCTAGTGTGTCTGCTCCCACAGGTCCTGCTGCAGCAGCTGCCCTAGGTGCTAGTGCGTCTGTGCCCCCTGGTACTGAGTCGACTGCAGCACTGCACACCTTCACACTGGACTCAGGTGCTTCTCGCTCTTTCTTTCGTGACCGCACTGTCCTTGAGCCACTAGCTCGGCCGGTTGCTGTCTCTCTTGCTGACCCCTCTGGGGGTCCGGTCATTGCGACCTCCTCCACTACACTTCCGTGTCCAGCGGTTCCGTCCGGCACGCTCTCAGGTCTCTACCTCCCCTCGTTCTCTACGAACTTGGTGGCGGGCTGTGCTCTGCAGGACGGGGGTGTTCACCAGTTCACCCCTGCCTACGAGCGTGTGACACATTGCACGTGTGCTCGGACGGGCCGCCACCTGGCTACTTTCACTCGGGAGCCGGGGTCGGACCTGTACACACTGACCACTGAGTCCCCTCAGGTAGCTGCGTCTGCGTTGGCGTCTGCGTCAGGTCAGCTGTCCGCCCCCTGCTCATGTCGCTCTCTGGCGCATGAGACTGTCCTCTGGCACCACCGCCTTGGTCACCCGTCTGTGCAGCGCCTTCGGGCCATGCACAAACGGGACCTTGTTGCTGGTCTTCCCAGGGTGCTCCCTCCCCTTCCCGCCTCCCCTGCTCCTGACTGCATTCCCTGTGTCGAGGGGCGGCAGCGCGCCGCTCCTCACTCCTCCTCCTTTCCCCCGACGACTGCTCCCTTGCAGACGCTCCACATGGACGTGTGGGGCCCAGCCCGCATCCGTGGTCAGGGTCAGGAGAGGTACTTCCTGATAGTTGTTGACGACTACTCGCGCTACACCACGGTCTTCCCCTTGCGCGCCAAGGGTGACGTCCCTGGTGTTTTGATCCCCTGGATCAGCCGAGCCCGTCTCCAGCTAGGCAAGCGCTTTCACTCGGACTTTCCTGTCCTGCGCTTGCACTCTGACAGAGGTGGTGAGTTCGCCTCCGACCTCTTGGCAGCCTACTGTGCTGAGCACGGCATTGAGCAGTCGTTCACGCTTCCGGCCTCTCCACAGCAGAATGGGGTCGCTGAGCGCCGCATTGGCTTGGTCATGGAGGTCGCTCGTACCTCCCTGACCCATGCGGCTGCTCCCCACTTTCTGTGGCCGTTTGCGGTCCGGTACGCAGCGCATCAGCTCAACCTCTGGCCCCGTGTCTCCTTCCCGGAGACTTCCCCGACTCTACGGTGGACGGGAGAGGTTGGCGATGCGTCGCGTTTCCGGGTCTGGGGATCTCGAGCTTTTGTCCGCGACACGTCCGCGGACAAGCTCTCGCGTCGCGCTGTTCCCTGTGTCTTTCTTGGCTTTGTTCCCGACGCGCCTGGATGGCAGTTTTACCACGTCACCTCGCGCCGGGTTCTGGCCTCTCAGGACGTCACTTTTGACGAGTCCGTCCCCTTCTACCGCCTCTTCCCCTACCGCACTGCCCCGCTCCCCCCCCCCGCCTCTCTTCCTCGCTCCAGGTGCTGAGGTACCAGACCCCCTCCCCCCTCAGGGTGCCGCTCCCTCAGGTGTGTCCCAGGTAGACCCGGGTGAGCCTGTCGAGGTAGCTGTTGAGTCGCGTCCTGCGTCTGGGGGTGCTGAGCCTGGGAGTGCTGCGTCTGAGGGTGCGGAGCCTGGGGGTGCTGAGCCTGGAGGTGCGGAGCCTGGAGGTGCGGAGCCTGGAGGTGCGGAGCCTGGAGGTACTGAGCCTGGGGGTGCTGAGTCTGGACGTGCTGAGTCTGGGGGTGCTGAGTCTGGGGGTGCTGAGTCTGGGGGTGCTGAGCCTGAGCGTGCTCCACCTGGAGGAGCCCTCTCCTCCCAGCAGCTGCAGGAGAGGTACCTCGAGTACTGTCGCCTCCGGAGAGGTGCTTCTGGAGCTCGTCCCGGTACTTCCCCTCCTACCCAGGAGCTCCCCCCCATTCAGGTGATCCGCGAGTGGTACACGCGGCGCTGCAGTCTTCGTAGTGGTGCTCCTGGTGCTGCGGACCCGAGCGGTGGTGCTGTTACTGGTGCTGAGGACTCGGACGCTGGAGCTGCTGCTGGTGCTGAGGACCCGGGGGCTGGAGCTGCTGCTGGTACTGAGGACCCGGGCGTTGGAGCTGCTGCTGGTGCTGAGGACCCGACCGGTGGCGCTGCTGCTGGTGCTGAGGACCTGACCGGTGGCCCTGCTGCTGGTGCTGAGGAACCGGGCGTTGGAGCTGCTGCTGGTGCTGAGGACCCGACCGGTGGCGCTGCTGCTGGTGCTGAGGACTCGGGCGTTGGAGCTCCTACTGGTGCTGAGGACCCGGGCGTTGGAGCTGCTGCTGGTGCTGAGGACTCGGGCGTTGGGGCTGCCACTGGTGTCCCTGCTGCTTCTGGAGACGCTGCGCGGCCGCGACCGTACTTCGTACCGCTCCTTCAGCAGGTTCTTGGTCAGGCTCCTCCTCCTAGTCCTCCTCCCTCCGTCGAGTGTCCTCTGCCTGTCCAGCCGCAGTCACAGTTACCGCCTGCCTCGCCTCTCCCTGCTCCCTCTCCTTACGCTGGTCCCACAGGAGGTCTTACAGAGCGTCGTGAGCCTGAGTCTCGTCCTGCGTCGCCTGTTCGTACTGCTCGCACTGGTCGTCGTGTCCCACGTGAGCGTCCTCCTCCTGTCCCTGGCACTCACTACATGACTCTGCGTCCCTCCACTGCTCCGCAGCGTGTCCCGCTGCCGTCTCCTCCTGCGTCCTCTCTTCCTACTCTTCCTGACCCGGAGTCTGACTCCCGTCATGCTGCCAGTCCCACTGTTACGCGTCTCCTCGCTACAGTTGTCACTGACCCGACCTTTGAGTCCTCTGCTGCGTCTGCTCTGGTCGCTGAGTTGGTTGACTTTGCTGCTCGCTGTCGCCTAGACTACGCTGCCAGCCTTGTTGCTGAGTCTGAGTCTGCGTCTGCCTGTCCTCCGTCCGTCGGGGGTGAGTGTGCCCTCGGCACGGACGTCCTTGAGGACAGACAAGAGGAGTTCCACTGCCTTGCTGCTGCTTTGCCTCGTCTCGTGTCCTTGCTAGTTGCCCCTGAGGGAGACCCGGATGCACCAGACATCCCGACCCCACGCTCTTACGCTGAGGCGATGGCGGGTCCCTACTCCTCTCAGTGGCAGACAGCCATGGACGCAGAGATGGCTTCCTGGAAGTCCACAGGCACATACGTAGACGAGGTTCCCCCTCCTGGGGCGAACATCGTCAGTGGCATGTGGATTTTCAGGGTGAAGCGGCCGCCGGGTTCTCCGCCTGTCTTCAAGGCGCGCTACGTGGCTCGAGGCTTCAGTCAGCGAGAGGGAGTAGACTTCTTTCAGACCTTCTCCCCCACCCCGAAGATGACTACTCTTCGGGTGCTGCTGCACATAGCCGCTCACCGCGACTACGAGCTTCACTCTCTTGACTTCAGCACTGCTTTCTTGCAGGGCAGCCTACATGAGGAGATCTGGCTGCGTCGCCCTCCTGGTTTCACTGGGTCGGTTCCTCCTGGTACCCAGTGGAGGCTCCAGCGGCCGGTCTACGGTCTCCGCCAGGCGCCACGTGAGTGGCACGACACACTGAGGACGACACTTGCGGCTCTTGGGTTCGCTCCCTCTACTGCTGACCCGTCGCTGTTTCTACGCACCGACACCTCGCTGCCGCCGTTCTACATCCTCGTGTACGTCGACGACTTGGTCTTTGCCACTGCTGACACCGCGGCACTCGCCCACGTGAAGTCGGAGCTGCAGAGGAGACACACGTGCACAGACCTGGGTGAGCTGACGAGCTATCTTGGCTTGCGGATCACCCGGGACAGAGCACGGCGCACCATCACCCTGACTCAGTCACACATGGTGCAGCAGGTTCTCCAGCGCTTCCGCTTCACGTACTCCTCGCCTCAGTCCACTCCTCTGCCTACCGGTCACTCGCTCTCAGCTCTGCCTTCGGATGAGTCCGTAGAGCCGAGTGGCCCGTATCCAGAGCTTGTGGGCTGCCTCATGTACCTGATGACCTGCACTCGACCTGACCTTGCATACCCTCTTAGTATCTTAGCACGCTATGTCGCTCCTGGCCGTCACAGGAAGGAGCACATGGATGCTGCTAAGAGGGTGTTGCGCTACTTGTGCAGTACGTCGGGCATGGGGCTTGTGCTTGGAGGGCGAGACCGGGTTGTTCTCACAGGGCACTCAGACGCTTCCTGGGCAGACGACCAGGCTACTCAGCGGTCGTCACAGGGTTACACCTTCAGCCTTGGCTCTGGCTCAGTTTCTTGGCGTTCTACTCGTTCGTCTTCTGTTCTCAGCTCCAGTTGTGAGGCTGAGATCTACGCCACAGCCATGGCTGCTCAGGAGCTGCGCTGGCTGACCTACCTGCTGACCGACCTCGGAGAGCGGCCTCGTTCTCCTCCAGTGCTGTACGTCGACAACAAGGCTGCCATTGCCTTGTGTGAGGAGCACAGACTGGAGCACAGAACAAAGCACATTGCCCTGCGGTACTTCCTTGCTCGAGAGCTGCAGCAGCGCGGCCAGCTTCGTCTGCGTTACGTGGCCACTGAGGCCAACACTGCTGATGTGTTCACCAAGGCACTCCAGCCTTGTGACCATCAGCGCTTCTGTACTCTGTTAGGCCTTGTGCCTACTGGGCCTCACTTGCTCACTTCTTGACTTTGCCTGTACTGTGATCACTATATATTTGTATACCTGCATGTTTACTCTTGCTAGGTTGTGATCATTGTACGTCTTGCTCTATTATAAACCTGCATGTGAACTGGTCTTGTGACCACTTGCTTGTGCTCGGAATTTGTGTGGAATCCTCGAGATCCACCCTGAGCTTGTTTGCCTTGCTTTGCCCTGACTGGTCTTGTGACCCCTAGGTCTCCTCCACTTTGCCTATGGGGGTGTGTCAAACATTATATGTTTGTATTGCTCTAGCCTGTAGTGGGTGATACCTTAGGGGGTACACCTAGTTAGGGTTTCACATTTGTACTCCTGTTCCTCTTAGTCACACTCATTCCAGTCTCGTAATCTTGACACCACGCTGGGGCTGACGCAGCCCCGACCCCGGAGCCAGCTGCTGACGCTGCTGCTGCTGAGGCTGCTGGGAGGAGAGGGGCTGCTGCTGCTGCTGAAGCCGCTGCTGACGCTGAGCCTGGTACCACGCCGCTGCTCCACCTAGCGGGGCCGGCAGTACAGGAGACGACTGACGAGCTCGGGTGTCGCCACCACCAGCAGGCGCAGTGGAGTCACCAGCCGCTGCACGAGAGGTCTCTCCAGACGCTGCACTCCCACCACCGCCAGTCGCAACAGCACCCCCACTACCTCCGCTACCTCCGCCTCCACCTCCACCAGAACCACCTTTCTTGCCCCCCTTGCCGCGGGACCGCGACGCAGTCGTAACAGCAGCTGCAGTCGCGTCAGTAGCGGCAGTGGCAAGAGAGGCAGTGAAGGTGGGTAACTGCGGGACTGTGCACCCGTGGAAGAGTGGGGGGGGCACAGCACCAGAGGCGGCAGCTACCGAGCGAAGGTTGCTCTTGACGTCCTTGAGCGCAGACTCAAGGACCTCAACTGTCAGCTCACTAGGGTGCTTCAGCAGGAGCGCGTCACGTACGGAGGCAAGGCGGTCAGGGAGGCTAGTGGCGATGAAATAGATAGTAATCGCCATGGGGGGAGGAAGCAGTGCAAGCTGTGCCTCAGTGCAAGCAGCGCGGTAACTAGCGTCGAGCGAGCGGAGGTGAGCGATCAAGTCAGCAGAGCGCTCAAACGAGGCGAGATCAGGAAACAGGAACGGGAGGAAAAGACGGCCAAGAGAGACAGTAGCGGGAGTAGAGTAGCGGGCCTTAATCGCAGTGAGGTACGCAGCAGCGGTGCGAACCTGAGTGAAGTGGACCTCCTCTGACTCAGGGAGGAGGCTGCTGAGTGCGATGCAGGCCGCAGCGTCACGCGACGTCCAAGCCGTCCTGTCAGCGCGCTGACGGGCAAAGCGAGCCGTAGCAGCATCGTCAGGGGCAGGACCTAAAGCGGCAGGCTCGGGGGGCTCGGGGAGGTCACCAGTAGCGTGCGACCAGAGGGTCTCGCCCCCCTGGACTTGACTCTCTAACAGACGGCGAGCGCGAAGGAGCCAGACGGAAAAGTCAAGAGGTCTGCCGTCAGCGTCGAAACGAAGAACTCGCGGAGTCGCCATAGCGAAAACTAACGCGAACGAGCAGGCGAGTAACAGCAGGAGGTAAGAGGCAAATTAGGGTTCAGGTGGGACTTAGTCGCAGCGGAAGAGCGGGCTAGAGCGACGGGCCAGGGCGTAGGGTCGACGGGACGGGGGAAAGGGCGGGCACGATGCGACGGGGCAGGGCGACGCGACGGGGGAGGGCGACGCGACGGGGTAGGGAGACGGGACGGGGCGGCGGGACGGGGCAGGGCGACGGGACGGGACGGGGACGGGACGGGGCAGGGGCGACGGGACGGGACGGGGCGACGGGACGGGACGGGGCAGGGCCGCGGGACGGGACGGGACGGGGAC